TTCACAAAGAACAGTCAGACTTTTAGGTGTTACTCATAAAGGTGTTATTCCATTTTATGGCACCTTCAGTGTCTTTTATGCCTTCCTCAGTCCTTCACCATGAATTCAATACAAGAAATGGGCACCAAAGAAGCAAACCAATTTGTTTTGGAAACGGAATCACAGAATCACAGAATCACCATGGTTGGAAGGGACCTCTGAGATCATCGAGTCCAACCTCAAAAAAAACCAACAAACCCACCCAAAAAAACACCCCAACAACAAAACAAAAACAACAAAACAAAAAACACAATACCCCACCACATCACACACACCCACAAACCAATAATCTTGGGCACTAGAGCATGCCCCGAAGAGCCATGTCTACTCATTTCTTAAGTACCTCTCGGGATGGTGACTCCACCACCTCCCTGGGCAGGCTGTTCCAGTGCCTGACCACTCTCTCAGTAAAGTAATTCTTCCTGATATCTAATCTAAACCTCCCCCTCCACCAACTTCAGACCATTTCCTCTGGTCCTGTCATTATTCCCTCGGGAGAAGAGGCCAGCACCCACCTCTCTACAGCCTCCTTTCAGGTAGTTGTGGAGGGCAATGAGGTTCCTCCTCAGCCTCCTCTTCTCCAAACTAAACTCCAGCACTTCAATGTCCTTCCTGTAGTGAGGGGAAACACAGCATTTTGAGTCTATGTAAGATACTCTGTTTCTTTTTCACAAATGGATGCAAACCAAACACAAGATACACAAAAAATAAGCGTATTTATTTACAAGATACAGTAGAAAACACTAGACTACATCAGACATATTAGAAATGTTAATTAAGAGAGATAACCCAGTGACAATTTCTATACCTAATCCCTAGAGCAAAGGCCAGGGTCCCATTGGGGAAAGTTAGAAAGGGAAGCCGTCATGATAGAAGTTAAAAAGAAAAAGTATTGCTCCATTCAGCTACAAAGGCCTGGGGACAAGAAATGCCATGTTTGTGGAAGAGAGACTCCTTTTGCAAGTGTAATCATAACATGTGCTGCAAATTTCCGGCAGTGAGAATTATCCTCCAAACTGACCCATCATTTCCACGTTGATTAAGAGCCTTAACACAACTCTTTGCTACTGGCCAATGGCTGACAGCAACAAGCCTCTATATTGGAGAAGACATTGCATCTCGGCCCAGCAACTAAACTGCTATGGTGGATCACACTCTTTACCTAGACGGCATGACGAACATAGCACCTGTATAAACTACACTGGGAAATAGAGGAGTTGTTTCTGCTTCCAAAAAGTGTAAAATACATTAGATGTTTGGAATAACAACAATAGCAACTGTTCTTTTAAGATTACAAGAATGATTTTAAAAAGTATACAGAAATTCATACAATATACAAAGGTAGAGAAATGGAAGATTGAATAAAAAGAGCTGGAAGCGGTCTGTTGTTACTGTTAGAAAGATGCTTAGAAACAGAGTTTTGAAGTCAAGTCTAACCAACAAAACAAAAGCCACTTTCCTGAAGCTCATCTGTTGTGGGTAACCCTGCCTGGATGTCAGGTGCCCACCAAAGCCATTCTATCATTCCCCTCCTCAGCTGGACAGAGGAGAGAAAATATAATGAAAGGCTTGTGGGTTGAGATAAAGACAGGGAAATCACTCACAAACTACTGTCATGGGCAAAACAGACTCGACTTCAGGAAGTTAGTTTAATTTATTACCTATCAAATCAGAGTATGATAATGAGAAGTGAGAACAAAACTAAAGGCACCTCCTGTCCACCTCTCCCTTCTTCCCAGGCTCAGCTTCACTCCTGATTTCTCTGCCTTCTCCCCACAGCAGTGCAGGGGGACGAGGAATGTGGGTTGTGGTCAGGCCATCACACGTTGTCTCTGCTGCTCCTTCCTCCTCAGGGAGAAGACTCCTCACATTCTTCCCCTGCTCCAGCATGGGGTCTTTCACACAGGAGACAGTCCTCCATGAACTTCTCCAATGTGGGCCCCACTCATGGGCTGCAGTTCTTTATGAACTGCTCCAGCGTGTGCCTTTTGCCTGGGGTGCAGTCCTTCAGGAGCAGACTGCTCCAGCGTGTATCCCTGGTGGTGTCACAAATCCTGCCAGCAAACTTGCTCCATTGTGGGCTCATCTCTCCATGGGACCACAGGTCTGCCAGGAGCCTGCTAGCATGGGCTTCCCACAGGGTCACAGCCTCATTTGGGCACATCCACCTGCTCTGGCATGGGGTCCTCCATGGGCTGCAAGGGGACAACCTGCCTCACCATGGTCTTTGCCATGGGCTGCAGGGGAATCTCTGCTCCGACACCTGGAGCACCTCCTCCCCTTCCGTCTTCACTTTGGTTTCTGCAGAGTCATTTCTCTCACATATTCTCACTCCTCTTTCCCAGCTCCTGTTGCACAGCTTGTTTTTTTCCCTTCTTAAATATGCTATTCCAGAAGTGCTACCACCATTGCTGATGGGCTCAGCCTTAGCCAGTGGCTGGTCCATCTTGGAGCCAGATAGCATTGGCTCTACCAGACATGGGGGCAGCTTCTGGCACCTTCTCACAGAAGCTGCCCTCTTAGCCCCTACCCCGCCCCCGGCCCCAGTACCAAAACCTTGCCCATGTAAACCCAATACTCTATGAGAGCTGTGCAAGGCTCCATATTCATCATTCGGGAACCTGGTGCATTTCCAGAGCCTGTTTTGAAGAACACATTCCAGCACATCTTTACCAACACCTACGGCTTCTAGATGCTGCCATTAAGCTCTGTATTTATTTACAAGGATGCTGTTTGGCGTAGTACCGCACTGCATATTTTTTATCTTGTTTCTTGCAGACGTGTGAATTGTGATACAGCAGCATAGGCTAAAATAAGGAGGTTTGGCAGGAAAGGAGAGGTAAACTCAAGCAGTGTATTTTCCTCACTGCGTTAAAGAAGAAATAAGATCCTTACTCATGTTGCTAACCCAAGTAAACAGCATTCCCTGTCCCCACACCTAGTGCAGGAAGTGCTGTTCCCTCTCTTTTTTGTGTTTGGAAGTATTGCTATGGATACTGTATTTGCAGATTACAGGTCATACAGCTGAAAGTAGTGTTATGCTGAGCAGTCCTTCCTTCCAGTAAATGAAATGCAACAAAATGAGTCAACACCAGTAAATGAAATGTAACAAAATGAGTCAACATTTGCTAGTTTGGAGAACATACCAAATTATTTAGCGAGGCTGCCGAAGAGCAGACTGGTGGTGACAAAATATTACCATGGAAACCCTGGCAGATGTAGCTGCACGCACACAGTAATCCCACTGGCTATACTGCTGGTCTGCAGGAACAGCACCTCTGAGCTGGGAATCTAGCACAAGTGAGCTGAAACGGAAAAGCAGGTGTATGCTGAAGTGGGAGTAAACATCTCCTGCTTCAAAACTGGTTTATGGCTTTCATCAGTTTTGGTGGGCTGAGAAGCTGCAAAGAATTCACAGAAGTTAATGAATGGCAGTGCTCAGGTTGCACACCACCGATGCTTGCCAAGTGCCACTAGAGCAGCGCTTTGTCCTACACCCAGGGTGCATCCCATGCTTTCCACACGCAGGCTGGTCACTACTAGAAGTTCATGTTTTAGCAGACCACCCTTATCTCCTGTCCTGGATATTTGGGATATCTCAGGTGTGTCTTATGATACTGTGTGGTGTTGGTTACACAAAACAACGTGGGTGAAAAGGCAACAGGACAAGTGAAATGTGTAGATTCAGATCTACGGAGCAGTGTCCGTTGGACAAGCTTATATATGTTAGCAGTTTCTTTATTACCTGTGCCTGCTCAAGAGTGGGGCTCATGAGGCCTTTTGGGTTGGATTTTGTGATCTTGCTCCACATGCACCTAAAATCAAAAAAGGCTGCCCAGATCACTGTGTTAAGAGCAGAGGAGGAGCAGAACTGTGAATTACGTTTTAGGGGCCTGAAGCATCTCTCTCGGGGACCTGGAGCATCTCTCTTATGAGGAAAGGCTGAGGGACTTGCGTATTTTTAGTCTGGAGAAGAGAAGACTGAGGGAGGATCTGATCAACACCCATACATACTTGAAGGGCAGGTGTCAAGAGGATGGGGCCAGTCTTTTTTCAGTGGTGCCCTGTGACAGGACAAGAGGAAATGGGCAAAACTTGAACATAAGAAGTTCCATCTAAACATGAGGAGGAACTTCTTGACTTTGAGGGTGTAAGGGCACTGGAACAGGATGCCCAGGGAGGTGGTGGAGTCTCATCTCTGGAGACACTCCAAACCTACCCAGACACGTTCCTGTGCAACCTGCTCTAGGTGGCCCTGCTTAGGCAGGGGGGTTATGAGGAGGAACTTCTTGACTTTGAGGGTGTAAGGGCACTGGAACAGGATGCCCAGGGAGGTGGTGGAGTCTCATCTCTGGAGACACTCCAAACCTACCCAGACACGTTCCTGTGCAACCTGCTCTAGGTGGCCCTGCTTAGGCAGGGGGGTTGGATCAGATGATCTCCAGAGGTCCCTTCCAGCCCCACATCATTCTGTGACTCTGTGGCACGTGAGGGCGTCCTTTAGTCCGACCTTGCAGCCTCATTTGTACTTGCTGCTCCATCCCAGCAAAGACATTGCAGACCTAAAAGAGGTTCCATGAAGGGGAATGAAAACAGTCACAGCCAAGGGAAGTGTGTTATGTACAGAAAATCTGGGTGGTCGTTTACTTCAGGAAACAGGTAAGACGGTCACAACAAAATCGTAATGATTATTAATTCGTTGCAGCATAAATTTCATCTAAAATTGGAAGACAGCAAGTAAAAACCTAGTAAATATACGGTTAAACTGCCCACAGGCCAACCCGAACCCGCCGGAGAGCCCCGCCACCCCTCACGGCCCCCGCCTCACCGCCGCCCCCTCACGGCCGGCCGGCGCCCACTCGGCGATCGATTGCTCAGCCTCCTCTCGGCCACGCCCGCCGGCGGGCTGCTCTGCGCGCGGAGCTCGATTAAGAAGGCCTTTCTCTCAGAGGGAGCGTCAGCCCCCGCCGTCCCGCCGGTGCGAGGGGCGGGCGGGTAGGGAGGGTGCCGCCGGCTCCGCCGCCAGCTGCCCGTGGAGGGGGACACAGGGGCCGCTCCCGATGCTGCGGTGGCTGATCGGCGGCGGCCGGGAGCCGCAGGGCCTGGCGGAGGTGAGGCGGCGGAAGGCGGCAGAGCAGGTGGCGGCGGGAGGCGGGGCTAGGAGGAGCCTTAGGGGCAGGGAGGGAGCGCTGTCCCCTCAGCACGGAGGCGGGCCGGGGGTCGGCCCGTGGGGGCAGCAGCCCTCAGGCAGCGTGGCGCCGGTGGGGGGCCGGGGGGAGCGCTGTGGGCTCAGGGGGGCGCTCAGCGGAGGCCTTGCCGTCTCACCGTAGCGGGGTCGGGCCAGGGCTCTCCGGAGAAAGGGGCCTTCGGGGCTAGCTGTCAGCCGCCGGGGCCTTCCGGTGGTTGGAAGGGGTTGCAAGAAGAGAAGGAGGGGAAAAGACCACAAAAGCAAACAGCAAAACCCCCAAGCTGAGCTTGTTCGGGAGCCGTCCCTGTCAGGAGTTCCTCCCTGTCGGCCTTCCTGCCTCCTGCTCGGCGTCCCGGGCAAGTGGAGTCGGGTTGTGGAGCTTATAAGCCTGTGGGGTCCTGCCGTCGGTCGAAAATGTAAATTATAGGCAGTAACTTAGTTATGCGGCCTAGTTGTAGTTTGTATTAGACCTCTAGCATTTCTTCTTAGTTTCTTAGCCATAAAATAAACTAGGCCTGTGTAGTGCGCTGAACACTGACACCCTTGCTGTTGTCTTACTCAAAAGAAGAGTTTTCTGTATTTGAAGGAGAGATTATTGGGATTTTTTTGTCCCTAAGACTCTGTTGAATTTCTCAGCCTGGACTTAATAAAAGTTAATTAACGCTATTACTGGGCTCCTTAGTGCTTTCGTAATGTAGGCAAATATGAGGAAGTAATTATTTTTCAGCCGTGACAATGTCATGGTTGATCTCAAATGCAACTAGTTGCTTTGGTGGAAGTTTGAGTCTGTAGCAGTTTGGAATGATGATGTCTGGGAATGCCTTTGACCTTTGTCATCAGTCAAAATGCTGGTTACATTGCAGTCATATTTAGCAGGTTTGTGTAAAGTTGTTTTTAAAAGGAAATAGGAAATATACAAGAGCTTTCTAACATGCACTAGAAAACTACATTGGTGTGTGTTCTTCTCCAAAGTTTAAATTCTGGCTATGGTTTAGTTATACTGTGATTTAAGCTACCACTGGCTTGTTGAATGATGGTCATCACTTTGCTTCTCTGTGGAAAAAATAGTGATAAGTGTTACTCCCTAAACTTTGTTCTTTTTTCCTGCATTATGTAATATTGTTTCATCTGAAGATCATCTTTGTAACCATTAGTTCTTTCTACACTCTTCTTAAATAGATAAGGAAGCCTCTAGTACTGTGTGGGCTATGGACTTATGGTGTTTGTTTCATGTGCTATGGCTTCAGTCAGTCATGAAAAGGCCAGATGTAGTAGAGTGACATTGCACTGGCTGAATAGGGAAAGCCTCTGGCAATGCTGTCCTAAATTCATGAAAAGCATTTTTCTCCTTACTCATTTCTCTTTTTACTATGGAACCAAAAATCATTTAGACTTAAGCTCACCTCTCTCTTTAGTTGATGACCATGATGTATATCTTAAGCAGAGTGTCTCTGGTAATGGGAGCAGTGTAACTGCAGTAGCATCACAGTCCATGTAAGCTAATTAATCATGCTCCATGGTACATAAGTATTTCTATGTACTCTTGTATCTGTATTTTCAGTGAATTGCTTTTGAAAGTCCACTTTTAAATGCTTGAGGTCCTTGGGGGTTGTATGAAGTTCTGAAGCTGAGATGAATGTTGTGGGTTTTTTTACTGATTATCATAGTGATGCTTACAGGTCCTGCATGAAAACATGCAAGTCAGGAATGGATTCCATTAACATCAACATCTAGCTTTCTCTTCTAAAAACTCGGTGTTGTTACAAGAGAGTTAAATTAATAGCTTATATCAAAAATAGTTTTCTTCAGGGAAAGAATACAAGTGTAACCCAACATTTTGGTCAATATTTTTGAAGATCTGAAGAGAGCATAGCTTGTTGTTTGACAGTACTGGGGAAAAAGCTCATATTTTGTGGTTGTCTGTAGTACTTCATCAGCACTGTGCCTTTCAATATTCACAGGCATTCTTAGAATTAAGAAAAAATAAGATTAGACACATTGTTCAAAAGAAGTAGCACTGCTTTGTACTGAATAAGAAGCAACAACAGAATATAGAACTGGGATGTTAATGTTACAAATTCTAACTTTTTTCAAAAAAGTGTTACAATTGTTTTCTGAAGATATGTTTCTATTAGTAAAGAAAAAATGGAAGTCTTCTGACTACAGTATTGCTAATTTCATCTGGTGATGCTGAGATTTACTTAGGATTTTTAGAACTTTCAGGTTTGTTAAAGGAATGTTTTGATTAGCTTTTGACAGCTGAGCTCTAGGTTTCCATATTTGTCAAACTTTTCTTTATAACCACAGAGACTCTACTTGCATTATTTTAAATGGGAACTGCTATTCTCACATAATTGCATAAAATGAGGAACAGTTGCTTCATGAAATGCATCAGATAGCACAAAACCAAGATAAAATCACAAGAACTAGCATTTTGACAACCTCTTCATTTTAAAAATAAACACAGATTTCTTTCCCTATTTATTAACTTTATCATTCTTAACTTCTGAAGAACAGTATAATAGTACCAATACAGAAGTATTAGAAAATAATTTATTATTCCTGCAAGAAAATGTTGAAGTTTCTGAGGATATGTTTGTCTTTCACATAGGTTTACCTGTCATGTGTGATGTGTGTTGTATAGTGTTCAGTAATTGCTGTTTTACAATGTAGGTTTTGTTGAAGTCCTCAAAGAAGAGACAGTCCTGGAAGTAAGATGGTGTTGACTGTTGTGTAAAATAAATCTAGAAGGAGGAGAGTGCTGTCACCGAGTTACTACTGAGCTATTTAGATACATATATATATATATTTAATAATGTTCCAGAATGTGGAAGACCCTAAATATAAAAAAAGGTGTGTTCTATTGAAACAAACTGATGCTTGAGATTAGCAGAACTCTTGTGCCTTGAAACTGCAGTCCTGTGCAATATTTTATTGACCCTACCTGGTGATCAGCTTGTTCTGAGTGATTGATTGTTCTTTTAATTAATAGTCTAGTTGGGGGTAATTGCAGATGCTGTTCTATAAAATGATTAATCATGCTCTATGTTTTTTAAGTGGTTTGCTTTTGGATTTTGTGAATAGAGTCCCTATGGATGATTTATATATTAAGTAACAGAACAGCATTTATTCTTATTTATTTTAAATATGTCATCTTTATATAGGATTTTAAAATTGAATGGTAGATGAAAGACATGAGAGGTTTACATACTTTGCAGAAGAGGTGTAATTTAATGAAAAACTGAATGTATGGTGAATTGAGTCATGAAGCTGGCTCCACATGACAGCTCATGACTAAACTGGGTTTTCATCTTGGTGTATCGATGATTAAAGCAGTACAAAATGTTTTTGATAAGCAGAAAATGCTACTTAATTACTTTAAAATACATGCTATAGAAAGATTTTATTTACTTGAAGTAATAAGAAATTATCTTTTGTAATGATTTTCATTAAGACAAAATGTTAACTTCAAATATAACTGTACATTCACACAGTAATCTATATGCAGATTGTTAGATGTTACAAAGACCTGATGAAAATAATTATGTCAGTACAAAATAAATTTCATTCCTTTTTTATGAATTTTAGAAATCATCTGTACAGACAATTGGTGAAGAACAAATACAGAATCCTTACACGGAGCTCCTTGTGTTGAAAGGTCACCAAGATATAGTACGGTTTCTAGTGCAAATAGATGATTGCAGGTATGAAATTGCATTTCAAATTGTTTCATAGCATCCTTGGCAATACTTCAAAGAATATTTTTGAAAATGTAATAATGTTTTTAATACTATCTTTCTAGTTTTGAATGAACATTCCCTTTTCTTTCCCTTACTACATCTTTTGGCTTCTCTCGTGGGTTATGCCTTCTTGAGAAAATAATGGCGATGTTTTTTGGTACAATTTCATTTGATTGAAAGAAATGCCTTTAGCTAAATCAACTCTCTTTTTTAGGCTGTTCCTGGGTTGAACCTTCCCTTTGGTACATGCATACACACGCTTTCTCCAAACAATGTGCGGTAGTGTCTGCTTCAGTTCTGAGTGGATGCATGCGATGTGTGTTTTTGAATTGAGAACAGCTGTTATTTCACCTTTCAGTTCTACAGAAGAATGTAATAGACTCCTACAGAGACACTGTAGCAATTGAACACGACATTCTCAACCATATTGAATGTTGCTGTTCCTTTCTTTCTAATCTTTTGTTACACTTTCTACTGAAACTTGAGTGCTTAATTCACTTGAGATTTGGTTAATACAACTTTTTTCTGAACTTCTCAAATTTTGAAATTTTCACCACTTTATTCAGAATGAGGAATTAGTTAAAATTTAGTTAAAATGTTTATTCTCTGCATTACATATCTCCTCCAGTTTGATCTTGTTCAGCTTGCTGTACTTCCTCTTTGAAAGCTGACAGTTTCTTTGTTTCTCTCATCCAATTTTTAGCTTTGTGCACTTTTTTGTTTTCTAATATTCCTTGATAATCTTTATCTGTTCTGTTCTTAGTTCCTTAGCTAGGTCCAACTTTACCATGAACTCAGAGGACAGAGTTATGTAAAATCTGGAAGAGTGGTTGTGAAGCAGAGATGAGTCACTACATTTACCATTGTCACTTTGGAAGTGTGACTGACACAATGAATTACAATAGTTTTATGTTAAGAGCTGGCTTCTATCTTAGCTTTGTCTAAATTAGCCTTGTGTGTTCTCTAATTTAACTTAATTCTGCAAGAGAGGAAATATTTATCTGCTTTAAAAGTAAGGTTGTGAAGCCTTTAGTCAATAATACGTGCAGTGACTCTGGGCTGATGTGGAAAATTAAATAGAAAACCTTTAGAACTAAGAACATAAGTGATAGGCAAGAGTCTCTCTGTTAAGGAGCTGTAGTAATTTATATCTTTTATGGATTAGGCACAGAAGGGGATTTCTAACATATTCATCAATAAACTATACAAACCTAACATGGGTGAGAATTTATGGTTTATGATTTATATCCTTGCAGTGTACAGCAAGGTTCTCTCCTTCCCCATGCACATTGATCAGTCAGGTGGTCTTTTCCAAATTCATAGTGCCCACAGAATCTTACTTTCTTATAATTTCATAAATACATGTCTATCTAAAAATTTCACAGAAGACTCCATGGAGAACTTTTAGCTTGTCAGTTTTAATTCTTAACATCATAAATATATATATATATCAGAAAAGTTATATGCATTACCATAAAATTTATTTTTCTACGTTATAGTAATCCGCCAGAAGATTAATATAAAACCAGAAGATTCTTTTGGGTTTTTTTCCGGTCTTTTTTTTTTCCCCCAGAGAAGTTATTAAAATAACCTTTCCTCAAAGTATGTTTTTTCCAAACCACATGCTCAGTACATGTAATTGGTCTTTATAGAAATACCAGAGTATTCTTAGATTGCATGCACTGTCTGATGCAAAGAAATCTTTTACCATTTTGGGCTTCATTGTGTGGTAGCAGGTAAGTTATTGAAGCTAAACTAATTATAATCAGTGTAAAACTAAAGTTGCATTGAAGATAGGTTATAAAATAGCATATGGATAAGGAGTAAGCTATATAGTTGGTTAATATTCAGAGAATTTGAGGAGTTTATAATAGAGTCGCTTCACTGGTGGTTTCTGGATTGTTAAACAGCTGATAATATTTTTCATTTGATTCTTTTCTGTAAAATTAGTATTGTTACTCAGCTTCTGAAATGTTTTTATTTAGTTTCTGCAGCTATTCCATTGTGTGCTTTTTGTCAACTATTGTAACCCAAGTTTCACGCTTCAGGTCTTTAGATAATATCATCTTATTGAGAATTTTGCAGAAGGATTTTCTTGTTTTCTCAGTGGCTCAGCTAAAACCAGTGAGTGGAAAATTTTCTCAGATTGGTTTTTGAAGATACTAAATAAATCCTGTATAAATGTAACAGAAAGCTGGTTTTTTTCTTCTTCTCTCATGTACTTTTTGAACATGAAGTAAGGGTCATATTGATTGGAAGATCACTAAGGAAGGCTAAGCTTCGGCAAGAGTCTTCCAAAAAATGGACTGAGATAAAATTGCATGTAATACTCTAGCATTTGACACATTAAACTAAACAGAGTTCATAACACATTTTAAGAATAGCTTTTTTTGTTGCTCATTTGACCATTCCTTGCTCCTCCAGGAAACAGACAAGGTTATAGTTGATGGTGATCATGACTGGAAAAGAATCAGGTGACCCATGAATCTCCACCTTGGTAAACAGAATGTAACCGTAGGATAACTGACTCTACAATATACCTTTTTATTTAAACAGAAATCCTGGTTAAAGATGAGGAGAAAAATACACTAAACAGCACTGTATTGAACTTCTACGTTGATGAAATTACAGTCATGCCTTCTTTCAAACACCAGTTTTCTTCCCAGAATTTTATTCAAGTGGCACAGAGCTCCAGTATTACACAAGAAAGAAATTGAAATTTAAAGGGTTATTGCTGAATTGTGAGAGTCTTGCTATTTTAGGTTCTTGATGTTGTACAAAACAAGGTATAATAGAGCTAAGAGGCAACTAAAGATAAGAAATTAATTTTATCAGACCTGTGCACAGAAGACTGCTTTTTGCTCTAATCTTGCTAAAGAAGAGGCCTGATTGGATATAAAATAGTGAAAGATATTAAGAGGGTACAGCTTATATTTACTGTAATAGAATAAAACAGGAGCATATGTGAAAGAAAGAGTGGGGGAAGACCCTATGGCTTTATGCCTGAAAACTTACCCTGTTAGCTTCACAAACATAATTGCAGAGTCTAAAAGAAAGGACACGTTAAAGTTAATGAAGCTATTCACAGCTGGTAACAGAAAAAAATTCAGACGTGATACAACCTCTCTTCTTCATGACTTTGTTGTACATAGTACGAATCTTAGTTCTCTAAATATTAACTGTTTACCCCTTGGTAAAGGCTTAAAACAAAAAAAAAGTAGAAGTAGACAAGTGGAAGGTGTTCCATGGAAGGTCTTGCTTCTGTTCCAGGCTTTCGTAACTCATAGTATGTCTTTACTGGGGTAGCTGGGATGTATGTTTCAGCTACATTAAAGCTGTGGTCCTCATAAAGTGCAAGTGTAGGCAGATGGTTAGATATTCACTCTAGCCTAGGGAAAAAGATTGAATTTATGTCAGGCTTTGTTAATGTGAGATTAACATGCTGTTATGAACCTGTTTTTTCTTTATATGCTATGCCTTCCATTTGAGTTTTTAGCAGAAGCAAAATTTAGCACATTAAATGCACTCCCTTTGGGAGTTCTTTTTAGCCACAGTTTAAAGTATCATAAATACCGGCCTCCTCTACTATTGGGCCAAATTTAGATGAGCGGTTTGTAACTTGTTAAATGTCATGCAGGCAGTTGGCTCTACTAATACTATTTGATGTTTAGAGTTTGCTTTTTCTTGGTGTGTAAGATCTGATATTTTTAAACAAGAGAATTGGTTCTGTAATGTGAGATTCTATTTATAATAAGTTGCATTGGAATTCTTTAAACCATGTTCTTATATCATGTATGTGTTGATAAACACCTACTTGAATGTACTGACTTGAGTTTATAAACTGTAATGGGGATTTACTAATATTTATTTTTTAAAGCCAGAGTCTGGTATATCTTATAAATATTTTTCTTACATAACAGTTTACTGTTTTTCCATTACATTATGGTTTATTGAAGTTTTCACTGTGTTTTGTGGTTTTTTTCTTTTTTTTTTTTTTCTTTCCCCCAGGTTTGCATCTGCAGGAGATGATGGAATCATATTTCTGTGGAATGCTCAGGTTAGCTTTTTTTTTGCGGGGGGTAGCTTGTGTGCTCTGGAGAGGGTAGAAGTTGCTGAGAGGAGTTAGAAATGTCTAGTAGTGAGAAAGCAGAATAAGAATTGCTGCAGAACTGCTGTTTAAAAATGTAAAAGTGTCAAATCTCAGTGTACGGAGGAGAGCTAGAAAGGTAGAATGTGTGAACCCAAGAGAACAACAGTTTTTAAATGAGAATGTTTTGGAAAGACAGTGATTTTAGGGAGATTTGAGATGAAATAATGGTGTGGGAAGCAGAAGCGTGTATGAACTCGTGGCTTTAATTCTTGTTTTAAAATATGTTCAGTGTTTGCTATAAACACTGAGATGTTGACTAATAACAAATATGTAAAAAGGTCCCAATGCTGCCAACATTTAAATGTATACTTAAGTTTTAGGTACATTGCAGTGGCTTTATTAGCCATGTCTATTTGTAGTATAACTGATTAGACTAAATGGAGAGCTAACACAAAACTGTATTGGAAAGACACCAAAGCAGAAGTTAAGCATTTCATGCAGTGCAGAAACAAGGCTTTAATTGTTTGTTGTGATAAAAATCTTCTTGTAACTTTTGAAAACTGTACTAAGGCATTAGATTTATCACGGAAATAGTGCTCTGTAATATCAGTGGGTAATACCCACTGTTCTGCTCTTCTGCTATATGTCTCCATATCATTGACAAAATTATAGAGAAGGGATAAGCATTAGACCTGTGTTAAGGAGGGCTAGTATACAAGTTAGATTGCTCAATGGGAAGTCTAAAAGGGAGGTGTATTGTGCTGTCTAAACTGTGAATATCAAACATTCAAATTAAGGAAGAAAGAAATCTCAGACTGTAAACTCAGACTGGAATCCTGCAAAACTTGTGTGACATTTTCGATGATGTAATTTTAAAATATAGAAGGGGGAACTTGAAGCTTTTTCTTTTGAGCGGTTTCAGATAGTGCTTTGCTGTTGTTGAAAGCATATTATAATTCTGCAATTTGGAAAAGGAAATTGGTTTTGAGTATTCAAAACCATGTCTGTGACTATATATATTCAGGGTTCTGAGCAGTTTGAATGTAAAACTCATTTAGATATCCAGCTTAGGAGCTGAGTTCCATTTTCTGCTCATGTAGAATTTTTATTACGTTTTTGCTAAAGCAGATCTTTTGTAATTTTAATTAAAAAACTTAGCCCACAATTGTAAATAAGTGTACAGTTATAACTGCCCGGTATTTTAATTGCAAGTTGAAAATGCCAGTATGCTTCTGCATGTGTTTTTGTAGGGTTTTGCAGGTGTAACTGCAGTTATCTAAACGCCATCTTGAAGCTATAGATAATGTACATACTAAATAATGCTGTCAGGCAATTGGCAGTACTGTGTTTGCTAAAAATACGGGTCAAGTTTTTCTAATCATTAAAAAATCAAAAAACATTTTCAAGAGGGAGTTTGTCAACAAATCTGAATTAATCTTGTATCCATTAAAAAGGGTGAATGACCAGTGTTTGCATTAAAATGAAATGAGTTTAAGGAAACTTTAGTTCTTAAGGGCTTTTAGAGATTGGGGTTTTTTTCACCCTTAGAGTAATTTTTATTATATGCTACTCCTTTACACTTATACTTAATATGTTGTTTAATTCTAGTTAAGATCTTCAACGGTATTGAAGGTAGTAAGAAGTAAATCCATAAATTACTTTAGAACTTGGATTTTGAATTTTTAGAAATTCTTGCCTTCAATTCTTGCCTTCAAAAGTCATTTGGTACCTATGTCATATGCTACAGTAGGCATCTTCCAAATTTTACATTTAGTTTTCAATGTTTTTGTTTTTCAGACTGGAGAAAAACTTTTTGAACTTCATGGACACACACACAAAATTACAGCCATAGCACCGTTTTCTTCATCAGATGATTCTCAAGAAAAAAAACATTTGATTTTAACAGCATCAGCTGACAGAACAGTTATTGTATCCTTAGATCCAGAGAGGATTAAAATTTCTACGGGCTTTTTGTTGGCTTTTACTTTTAAAGGTAGCATTAAGACAGTCTGCAGGGTGTTTAAATTTATTGGCTGATAATTGGATTACACTAGGATTTTACTAGTTATTGCTCATAAGTAGATGCAATCATTGCTACAAAAATGTATGCACAGCAGACCTTTATTAAGATGTCATTTTGGCCAAATATTAAAAAAAGAATCAGGGTTTAGAAGACTGAGTCTCTGCATACCTGTTTCCCAATCTGTCATTTGGTTACAAATACAGGAGTTACAAATTTTATGTGTAAAAACCTCTCAGTTTCCTTAATGAATAAAGTCAGGTTTGGGACTGCACTAGTGGCAGGCAGGTTCAGAAAGTGTCATGTTTCCATTCTACTGTAAAGGTAAGCTGAGGAAACCCCATGTGTGCCTGTTTTGTTGTATAGAAGAATCTATTATGTATGGCTCATGGGTCATATGGGCAGGTGTGTTAAAATGAACAGCAGTGTTTGCTTTAATAACAGGTACATAATGAGTGGCTGAGAATTGGACACCATTCTTATTTTATTTTTTGAACTCAATACCTCAATTTTCTTTTGAAAGGATGTAGAACATAAGTCATTTTATGGCTTCCTTTTGTTAACTATGTTGAAAAGGCAAACTATAGTCAAACTAGTTCTTGAATGTTACTAGGAGAAAAAAATATTGATGAAAAATCAGTTTTTGCATTGTTGATAGGAAAATGTAACGTATGTAATTAAATTTGTGTTTCTTAGGAATGTGACACCCTAATACTGTATTTTATAGTACTTACAGCTTTATCTAGCTAAAGCTCATGATCATTTCACTGAGAAATTCCCTGTAGAACTTTTGCAGGGGACATATATCTGATTTTTGTTCTGCAGTGTTTGACAGTTCTGCAAAGACTGGATGTATGGTTGTCTGGAGGGAGTGATCTATGTGTTTGGAACCGAAAATTAGATCTCTTGTGTAAGACCAGTCATCTTACTGATGCAGGTAAAAATGTAAATGACTCATTATAGCTGTTAAAGTGCAAGTAAAATGGATCCGTATAATGATGCAAAACCAACTTGGCAAATTCTCTTTAATTCTAATGACAACATTATGTATTAGAGTCACTCTCTATTTTTTTAAATGTCAGACTTAATCGTTTCAGAATTAAAGACTGCTTTTAATCTCCTGTGCTGTGTGAATTTTAGAATATGTCAAATCTCAGTAACTGTACATTATCTTGGACTTACAGGGTTAGACCTCAGATGCTGATTTTCACATGTTTGCATGTGGACCAGATCCTTTGGCTGGCTTTCTCTATGAATGAGTGGGGCTTATATTATTTCTAAGTAAAGCTTTGTAGTAGTAGAGCAGTAAAGACTTTATTATTAAGAATCAGTCCTCTTGGTGTAGAAAATGCAGGCTTTGATAGAAATATAGTAAAAGTAATCAGATTGCAATGTCAATCATGCTTTTCTATTAATAAGCTTAAATATTATCAGTCCATGCAAAGAAAATTGTTGCACGTTGTTGCCATACTTTACAAAGATACCTACAAAGCTGTGAATCAAATTCAGAATTGGAACTGCTATTTTCCTTTTTTTTGTCATAGAATGGAGTAGTGGTAGGCAAAGCCTTCTAAATCTTTGAGGGTATTAATATTTCTTTCGCTTCAATATGAAATATCATGCTACATACCAGTTGGAAGTGGTACTGTAGTACTTAGTGTGAGGAACTATTGAAACTTCCGTAAAAGGGGTCAATGGGATGTGCAGCAGGGACCCTCTCTTCCTGCCTAATCTCTTGCTTCCTTTTTGGGGAGAAAGAGACAGATTGCTTATTCCTTGGGGAATTTTCCTTTAATAGTGTGGCTGCACAGACTGGGGAAATTCCACGTAGGATGAAGGCAGAGTAGCAGCAAGCTGGACATTTTATCTTGTGTCGTATTCTTCTTCAACTGGCTCTGCATAATATTTTAGTATCATCCCTACTGTGGTAGTATCAGTATCTAATAACTTTGGTACTGTATATGTTTAGAGTCTCAATAATTACCGCAGTGTCCTTAGTATTGTCCAGCATTAGGACATAAAAGTCTTAGCTGTTTTTAGAATAAAAAGGTTATTGATTCTCAGCTTCACCTCAAGTTTGATGTTTGTAATTCCATTGAAATCAGGACCAAAGCTCCTGACTCTACCTCTATCTGAAGTTATCTGTTCATGTCCAATGCTGTTTAACTTTCACTTCAGGCAATATGCTTTTATTTTGATAAGAACTTAAAAGAGGAAGGAAGATTATGGAGAACTTCATTAATGAGAAATAAACAGTTTGCTGTGTTTTATTGTGGCCAGTGAATATCTTTTTATCCTTTATCTCCTGTATTTTTTCAAAGGTATCAGTGCTTTGCTTGAATTGCCTAAAAATTGTGTTGCAGCAGCTGTTGGCAAAGAGTTAAGTGAGTATGTTGCATTTCTGTTAAATGTTCACGTTCCTTTTGCTTCTCAGGGTTATGTAAAATGCACACTGCTGGAATTGTATAGGAAAAGTAAACGGCATTAGGGTGTGATTGGCAACTTTCTTCCTTTTCCCCTGATTTGACAAAGAGGCAGACAATACTCATTCAGTAATTTTGTTGAGATCTGCATTACAAAACTTTTCCATATTCTTTTTTATTGTTATTACTGTTATTGCCACCTATCCGACTCTGATTATGGCAATCTACATTTGTCCTTCTGAAGAAGGTCTGGAATTTGTTATCTGAACCATCAGATACTGGGCTTCTCTACAGACTCCTTATCACAAGATCAGTAATATTAGATATTGCTGATCTCATTTTACTGTCCAAAGCTAAAATGAGATAATGTGATGATTTCTGTTGCTCACTTGGAGACCAGGTTTTTTATGTATGCAAACTAAATCTTCAGCTAGCTATCTGTGTAGAGTCTTTTAAATAAGAGTGTTGTATAAAATTATTGAAATTTCACAGAATCACAGAATCATCATGGTTGGAAGGGACCTCTGAGATCATCGAGTCCAATGACAAAAAAAAAACAAACAAAAAACCCCCAAACCAAAAAACCAACACCACACAAAAAACCGCCAAACCAAAAAACCAACACCACACACAACACCCCACCACATCATACCCACCCACAAACCAATACTCTTGGGCACTAGAGCATGCCCTGAAGAGCCATGTCTACACATTTCTTAAATCCCTCCAGGGATGGTGACTCCACCGCCTCCCTGGGCAGGCTGTTCCAGTTCCTGACTGCTCTGTCTGTAAAGTAATTCTTTCTAATATCTAATCTAAACCTCCCCTGCCACCAACTTCAGACCATTTCCTTTGGTCCGTTCATTATTCCCGTGGGAGGAGAGGCCAACACCCACCTCTCTACAACCTCCTTTCAGGTAGTTGTAGAGGGCAATGATGTTCCCCCTCAACCTCCTCTTCTCCAAACTAAACATGCCCGGTTCCCTCAGCCTCTCTTCTTACAACTTGTTTTCTAGACCCCTCAAAATATGTAAGAAAAATCCAGGGGAAAAAGTAGAACACTGAATCAGCAAAACAACAAATTTTGTTCAATATGATTAAACACTTAGCAGAAAAGTACCAATCTGATATTCTGTACAAAGAATCAGGAGGAAATGATAAATAGTCTTGTGTTTAGACATTGATATACAATGTAAGCTTCCATCTTAATTTCCCACAGTTCTTTTGTAGTGCCCTTGAGATATCATAGAAGAATCATAGAATGGTTTGGGTTGGAAGGGACCTTAAAGATCATCTAGTTCCAACCCCCCTGCCATGGGCAGGGACACCTCCCACTAGACCAGGTTGCCCAAAGCCCCATCCAGCCTGGCCTTGAACACTTCCAGGGATGGGGCATTCACGACTTCCTCGGACAACCTGTTCCAGTGTCTCACCACCCTCACTGTAAAGAATTTATTTCTAGTATCTAATCTAAATCTCCCCTCTTCCAATTTAAAACCGTTGCCCCTTGTACTTTTGCTACACTTCCTGACAAAGAGTCCCTTGGAAGAAATTCCAAGACTGGTTAAAATTAGGTTTTAATTCCTGGCGATATTGCTTGCCTTAGCAGATAATATTGTATGCTTTGTGGTAATAGTTTTCAGTCAGATTAGACCTTAAGAAAGATGTTTCACTTTTAGTTTACTTCTCAATAAAGACGTCTAATACTTTTCACTTCTGCTTTCTGTAACTTCTGATGTGTAATGATTCTCTGAATTTCAGAGTTAGTATATGCTGAAATATTTTATCCTATAGTTGCTGTAGTAAGAGGTCATAATAATAGCACTGGAATGATTTATTCCCATTTTTTTGGGGTGCTCTGAGTGGTCATAGGTGGCTTTGCACATTTTGTACCCATTTATAATTGTCTCGTTTATAATATGTTTTGAACATCTGAAAATGATGTTTTATTTAAGCATAGCTACATTTTATTCTGAATGATAAAGCTTATTTAGACAATTTCTTTCTCTTTCTTTGAAGTAATTTTTAGGCTGGTTGCTTCTAATAATGGGTCTGAAGGTTGGAATGTCCTTGAAGTGAAACGCCTTGTTGACCATCAGGATAACATTTTGTCATTAGTCAGTGTGAATGGTAAGAGTTTGTTTTATAATGTTACAAGTTTTGTTAGTTACCAGCAGAATATTTTAACTGTGGCATTTTTATTGGGACCAAACTGAACTTTAGTGAAACTTCATAATTTGATATACTTTCCTGTGTAGCTGCAAAGTTAGTGAAATAATGGCTTTATTTATGGGTTAACACTGAAATGAAACCAGGCAGGTTACAATGTAGAAAAGGCACAAAAGAGCCAATGTCATTGATGAGAATGGAGCTCTGCGTCTTCCTGTTGGGAAAGTTTAAAATGCTGGTTTTTTCGTGTTCCTTATGATTCTTAAAATGAAAAATGCAATGCCACATCCTTTGCAGCTGTAGTCCCAATGTAACCAGAAGTTCTGGGTATGCGGATGTGTGCCTGCATATAGAGCCATTGTTTAGAGGCTCTGGAGGATGATGCCATCTCTGCTGCTCATCAGGGCAATACTAAGCTATTACCTGAACTACTGTCTGCTCTGCTGCAGGTACCAAGCTCTTGCACTATGTTCTTCCCTGTTTTTTTTTAATAGAGCACCTCCTGAGCCCAGGACAAGTTATTTCTGGTGTGATAGAGAGTGCATATGGGGTGTATTTGTGTCAGCCTGGTTGGCACAAAGGGGCTGTGGTACAGAGGTAACAAGAAGCCGGAAAGAAGAATAATTGGATTCTGTGGTACTTGTTTCTGGGGTTTCCTGTTGCCATTGTTTTCTCCTTTTTGATTGTGAAGGGCAGCAATATTTGGCTTTAAAATACAATATGCTACCTGCTTGAAATATTATTGAAGTTTCCATGTGTGATTAATAAATTCATGACCAGCTACTTGAATCTTACCATTAACTCACCCATTTAATTTGTGATTAGTATTTCTGTTCATGTCAAAGACATACTTCACTGTGTCTGAGGTGTGCTGATACAGCTACTTGTCCAAGGAATAGAAGGGTTTTGTATGTGGGCAACAAGTGAACTTCAAATATTTGTACATACTCCTGGTGATGTTCCTTGCCCTTGCTATACTGTACTGTGCGCTGCAGCATATGGATGTTCTTCCTAGTTTCAATTTTACAGGAGACAGCTCATCACCTTTGGCTCATCTGACCTATACTAGGTAATCAAAACAAGTATTTACTCAAAAGTGAGAGGTTTTTGTCTAGTCAGTTATCTAGTGCACATTCTACATAGCTTCACTCAAAAATGGGCTCTTAATTTTCTAGGGTTGTAAATCAGTGTGAAATATTTTTTTTTTTGTATTGTGATTTCTATGTGTGGTTTTTTTTCCCCCCTGTAGACTTGACTTTTGTGACTGGTTCTCATGTGGGTGAGTTAATAGTTTGGGATGCACTTGACTGGACAAAGCAGGCCTCTGAGTGCAACTTCTGGGACTCCTCTGTTCATCCAGATGTACAGCCGGAAATAAAGTTATCCCAAAGCCCAAATGAAACTTCAGTTCAACACTTGACGTCTGATGAGGAGGTAAAAAGCTTCAAAAAGAGTAAACTACTTCAAGTGAGCTAGCATGACCTCACCACAAAAGGCCAAGCGTTTTGTGTTTTCAGTTTGCTTGCTTTAATATGAGAGGCTTCTTTAAAATGTGCACAACTATTTTTGTACAGTCAACGGCGTTTATATAAAATTTTGGTCATTGAACTAACTGAAGGTTATAATATGTTGTTGCTATGGGAACTAACATAATGAACTGTCGTAACGGCATTTCTTTTTGACTGAAAAGATTTGTTAGTTGTTTACAGTACCACTAATGGGAGATCTGTGTTTGGATGGCATATATCTTCATATTCCATGGTTCTGGAAATGCAATTTCCACAATAATGCACCTCTTGAACAGTTATAGCTGAGGGTACTATGAAGTGAATTAAAGAATAGGCATATATCTATGATTAGTACTAAATAAATATTGCTCCTTCTGTTCAGATGGGCTATACTCCATGGTGAAGAGCACAAATATGGGTCCAAAATCCAGTGTGCTCTAATGGTACTTTGAAGATAATACAGGAGTTCTTGGTCGGAATACTCAGGCAGAACCAAATTATTGTTCAGGAAACACTAAAAACCTTCAGGTTGTTATTTACTTCTGCAGATTGTTACCAACTGTTAGCGGCAAAAGAAAAGATGTTTCATAGTTTGAGTAGAGTGGGATTCTGTTTTGGGTTCTGTAGGCCCCTTGCTGGGGAACGATTAAGAAAGGGATTCCTGGAAATGGTTTCAGAGATATGAGCTATACCAAAATAAAAGCAGACCTAAAGCCTGAATCTAGGCTGAAGGCCAAGTAGTCATCTGATGCATTTGTTTATAAAAAGAGCATTCCTGGAGAGAGAAACATTGCTGTGTAAGGGTAGGGGGGAAAAGAAATATAGTTGTCTCTAAAGGTAGGATTTCCAGTGATTTTCTTGTGGGTGCTTAGCTCTAGAAGGAGCAAAGAGACAGTCCTGTTTAGGAAAGTTCTATAATTTGGCTTCAAAGCATTTTGATTTCCTGTTTGAAAGCTACACAATAAGTGTTTTGAGGGAGGGGAAGAGAATTTTGGAAGTTCAGAAATAGTTAAAACATTGAATGTTGAATCTTAAGGCTCTTGAGGACTTTCTTCCCTTCATGGAACTGAACTAAACAAATTGCTGCAGAATTTTATTTATTATGAGACTTCTGAATGGTGGGAAGAAAGGTCGTTCTAGTGTTATGTCCTGAAATAGAATGTCGTTTTAGGGCAGAGCTGTCTGTATTGTAAAGTTCCTACTTAGAAAATGGTGAATAATGGTATTCCTACAATGAATTTGTTACATGCTATGTAAAAGCAGAATGCTCTTCTTCCTGTCAAAAAAAAAAAAAATTAAATTGGTGTTTTCTCTGTTAGGAACTTTTTCAGCAGGCTTGCTAGTTAGGTAGGTAGTTAGAGATGCACTCGTCTAGTTTGATACGGAGCTTGCAGGCAAAATATGATTCAGAAAAAAATGGGAATGTTAAGGTTTGACAATACCAGGAAACAGTGTTAAGGAGTGCGTCTGTTTTCCTGATACATGTGTGTAACTTGCTTGTTAAGATAGGTACGCAACTTACGCCTCGTCATCTGTTATTTTCTTGGGATTTGAGATGACCAGGATTTTGCTGGGGCTTGTGGAGAGAGAGAAAAAAAGAAAAGGGTGTGATCTGTAAAGAGCATCTTCTGCAAAGCTGTAAGACTGTATGAAACTCAGGAGCCTGTCTCAAGGTGGAAGACTGTAAGGAAGAAGACGCTAAGATACAGGAATGAAAGTGATAGGACTAGATGATCTCTAGAGGTCCCTACCAACTCTGACAATTCTGTGATTCCGTGATATGAAAGGCCATTGAATTGAATCTCACACAAAATTAGGAAAATAATAATGTGCTTAGTTTTTTAAACTTGATTTGGTAGAGTGCTCCCAGAAATCTGAGTTTAGCTTCAGAGCTGTTGGAGCTCCCAGCACAGATTTGCATAAGAAAACAAAACCAAGACAAAATCCAACAAACACCTGGACAAAGAGTTTTGTACAGCGTCCAAGCACTGTTGAATATATGTAGGAAATCTTAGTCAAACACATTGGGTTACCAGTTTTACAAAATGTTGACAAGTGTATAGTGTGAACTGCATATGAGGCATTAATATTTGGGCTTTGTAGATGGAAGCCATTCAGGGAAAAGATCCAGTATACCATTACCTAAACAAGGTATGGGTACTGAATGGAGGCATTTTGCACTTCTCAGGTATCAAATATTTATCATGTGTATGTACACATGATTGTACATTTGTCCTCTCTAAAATCATTTCAAGTCATAAGAGGATCCAGATCTAATGATCTGTAAACTCTTTGTGGATTGTTAGGGATGTGATGGTTATGAGGTGTGGAATCCCTGCACTTTTCTGAAAAAGAGCATTGAATGCAAAATGGTTCCAGACCTTTTTACACGCTATTGTGTAATACCACTCTGGGACTGAGTTCCTTTTCTGCATTCAGTAAAGCCCAAATGCTTGAGAAAGACTTCTGTGCAACTTCAGTTAAATTTAAAAACAATGGTAGAAATGCAAAACAGCTTTCTGTATTCTCAGTCTTTCATGATAAAACAAGAGATTGTCAAAACAGAGAGCATTATTTTGGTGTAAGAATATAAAAGTTTAATTGCAATAATGTGTTGATCTATTGGTATCTTTGGTGTCCACTTAGATTGTAAGGTACAGGATGAAAATTCATAAATAAAACTTCTTAGAATGCAGGAGGATATCTCTCATTTCTTCCAAGAAATCCATATTTTTTCTAGAACTTGTTGATTCTGTACATTTGGGATAAAGCAGTAACACAAGGACAGAAACGAGCTAGATGATGTCGTAGTACTGCTGGAAATCCATTACATGCAGGGTGATCTTTCAGTATCTGTTTCTGTAAGTTGTTCCATTGAATTTTCTTTCCAGTGTGTGTTTGCTGCTGTTGGGAAAGGCATATACGTATATAATCTTCAAATGAAGCGTGTGATTGCCTGCCAGAGAACTGCTCACGACTCCTCTGTACTGCACATTGAGAAGCTTCCAAACAGGTACGAGTCATGGTACATTTTGTTAATGCAGTAAAGAAATGCACAACTTGGAAGGGTGGCTAGAGACACTCTGCAAAGCTACATCTAATTTCTAGGGTAGGGACTTGATCTTTGGTTTGATCTGTTTTTGTTAGATAGAGCTTGTTGACCTGATTTTTGAAAATGCATCATTGTAATTCAACGTGAAAAAACTATAGTTCAGTATGCTTGATGTATAAGGCTCAGAGAAAATGTCTTCGCTACTTTCAAAATCACACTTCATAAAGCTCTGTTGTCTACATTGTGAAAATATAGCTTAATGGCATTTTACTTCTATGCAGGGCAAAGGCCTATGGCATATTCAGTAAGTGTTTTTCACTAAATGTTTTGTAGCAGTTGAAATGTTTAAAAAAACCCAAACAACTCCCAGCCTTTGCTCATTAGTGCTAAATTTTTAGCTGGAGCATATTTTGACAGCCAAGTTGGACAATCTGCTACCTATGTGTAATCTAATAGTTACGTTGTTAGATCTCTTTGTACAATGGAACAAAAATTTTTCAGAAGATGAAAATTAGGGCCTTGATGTTGTAAATGCATGTGGTGTTCTAAACATGTAATGAAAAGGAGTATCTTTCCTTTTCTTACTTTTCCATTAGAAAAAATACATTTTTGCTTAATGAAAGTAAGTTTGTTGAAGCGAGTTTGCAGTCTAGACTTGCTGGTTTTTGTTTCATGGAGTAGTATGCTTTTAAAATGGGATTGAAAATGTATGTTTTTTCCACCTGTTTTGTAAGTCCGTTGTATTTTGTCCTGCTACAAAGGCATGTTATTTTGTGTGGAACATATGGATGTCCTGCTGCATTTGAGAGTTGTAGCAAACTTGTGTAGAACCTGAGGCGCTCGCTGCCTATTTTATAGAAGCATTCCAAGGTGACTTGTGCAGATAAGTATCCATGCTAGCCCTAAGTGTCAACTGTTTTTACAGGCAGCTGATCTCCTGTTCAGAAGATGGCAGTGTGCGCATTTGGGAGCTCCGAGAAAAGCAGCAGCTTCCAGCTGAACCAGTTCCAACAGGTTTGCTAGTAGCTGGGGGGTGAAAACACTATTTAAAAACAATAATGGGAAACCTGGTATTCACCATATAGGAACGGAGGCTTACAGGCTTTGTAAGAAGAAATAATATCTTGTGTTCAACCAACGGCTAACAGGTATGGGAGGGAAACTGAAGAAGGCATGAGTGTACAAGCCCTCCAAGATCTGATATAGGAAGTTAGAAGGTCCAGCTGAAGCAGTTCGGTGCCATAAAGGTTGCTTAGAGTTTACAGTTGTATTAGCTGGTTTAACCAAAATTATGAACTCTCCTGACAAACCTTGATCCTCTGCATCTTGTGCTAAATAGTGTTGGATCCTCTGCCATGTAAGAATAAATAGTTGCAGGACCTTGTGAAAAAAGCTAAAGAGAAGCTTGCAGATGAGCAGGTGGCACAAAAGAAATGTATTTTCCACATCTCCTCCTTGACCTTGGAATGATATTGGGACTCGCTTTGAGGCTGCATCCAACTTCACTTGCATACTACCTCTGGGCATTGCAGTCCTCAGGACTGATTGCTAGTGTTTTGGGAAGCATTTTCCCTGAGTACCAGGCCAGCAGCTTCCCTGGATACCGGTAGTTGTGGTCTTGGACAGTTGTTCTGGACAATATAATCAGTGTTATGGACTGGGAACACTAATGAGCTGTTACACTCTTGTAGGAATTTTTTTTATTCAAACTGTGAATAATTTTCTTCATGTATGTACCTGGCTGTTCACCTGTTGATGGTAACTTTTGCAAATACCTTTTTGCTGCCTGGGTTGATTTAGAAACACTTTTTCAGGAGTGTTCAGTATTGCTGGTGACAGCTGATCTACAGAGTTCTGCTTCTGACTGTGTCAAGTGGTATATGGTTTCACACTGGAAATTTGTAACTTCTATGATTGGAGAAATTTGAAAGAAACCATATGCAACAGTGAGACAGGTGGACTGCTATTGATATGCTCCATTTTTATTCTAAGAAATCTCCTGAGTAGTAGTTTATCTCTCATCTCCCTAGCACCGGGGCCATGGTCTAGCACACTTCATGTTTTGTGTGTTGATGGGGCTGAGGGTCAGGAAGAAAGTCTGAAGTGTATTGTGTACAGAACCTAACTTTCTTACTTCTCTCAGTATTATTACACAGTTCTTCTGAAAGCTGTGCCACAGATGTGTATTTTCTTTCTATCTAAATGGAACGTGTGGTGTGGTATCTTTACGCTGCAGTTTGGCTGATAGTTGTAAATCTGAAGGAGAAAGCCAGTGGGCACTATAAAAACAGGCAATTCAGCATCAGAAGCTTGCTTGTTACCAGCATGCCAGCACTCTAATGCCTCAGTGCAGGACACACAAGGGAGAGACTGGCACCTCATTTCTCTCCTCTTTGACTAGGAGGACAGAGCAAAGGTAAACATCACTATCCCACATCTACCTTTGCTGTTCAGTTAGTTCATTTAGGCAGTCCTTGGATTTGTTGCTAAATCTGTATATTGTCTCATCCAGGTGAGGAAGCCAACGTTTGCTAAATTATGTCTAGTAAGGACAAAAAACAAAGTAGCTATGTTTCCTTCCCCTCTCAAGATGAATAATCCAGATGTCAAAATGCTGCACAGTATAATGCTTCTGTCATTTTGCCATGCAGACTGTCATGCTTTTGGATTTTAAGTCACTCCTGTAGTTCTCTCTTTAGCTAGAGGGAATAAATTATGTTTTTCATTTTTGCCAAAACAAAAGATTTTTTTTTTTCCCAGGGTTTTTCAACATGTGGGGATTTGGAAGGGTAAACAAGCAGGCAAACCAGGCTGCTAAGAAGATGCAGGAGAGTACACCTGTGTATTTCTTGGAGCTGGTGGGTGATTTGATTGGTCATTCATCAGCTGTGCAGGTAGGTCAGCTTCAGTAAGAACAAGAAAAAGTGAATTTCATGTACTAGTTTAATTTTGGCAATGTTACTTAAATAGCTGTAACTGTCTGGCTCTGGAGGCTGGGAACACATTGTGTAGTATATTTTATAAAAACAATACTATGTACTGACTTAAAGTTCTAATGAGAACTCCAACACTCGCTGATGCCTGAGGATTGTGTGTGCAGTTATGAACAAATGTGCTACAAATAGTCTGGTGGGGTATTGGGCTTGTTTATAGACGGCAAACAATACAGCTTGGAACTGTTTGTTCCAGATTTCATCTTAAGCCCTTGTTTAGATTGCGAACTTATATGAAACAAAACCCAGTCAGGAATTTCTTAGTACTCTGTGCTGTGAGCATTAAGGAGGTCTTTTTAATTTTAAATCAGATACCATCCTGTGCTTCTTTCTGCCTAATAGAGTATGGTTTTGTTTTAAATGGCGTTTTCCCTCCACACATTTTTGTGTTTGACAAACCTATTGGAGTAACAAATCATTATCTTACAGTAGACTTATATACACATTCTTGGCAGGAGCAGGGAAATGGCAGGTAGAGAGGAGAGGTGTCATCCTGGAGCAGTTTTGCTCACAAGTATTCATGAGACTGACTGGATTTCAGAACTGCTGCTGTCAAAATCTGAAAGCTTTTCACTAATAGCTAAGGTGAGCCTTTCTGCTACAGGGATTTCTGCAAGGCTTTCAGTCCCTGTCTACCATCTTCCTTTCTGAAAACTGTTGAAAGAGGCCCTATTATCAGTATGGAAAGTTGCTGTCTGAGAAAGAGGACATAATGTGTAATTCAGTGGGAGGCACAGCAAGGAAGGTGAGAGGCTCTTTGCTGGGGTGTTGCACAGCCAAGGAGTAACTGAGATGATGGTGGTGGATGTGATTTCCTGCAACGTTCTACATATGAACAATTCCCTTTTTAAACTCTGGGCAGACTGGAGCCATTGAGGATGGAAAGGTTGAGTAGTGATGAAGTGTGATGGTCAAAGATGTGTCAGCTCCATTGCTCTTACAAAATACCTCCACTGCTGATGTGCTTTCTCCCGTGTTGCAGTTCTTTCTGGTTTGACTTCCTCTGTGTGACAGGCACATGCTGATGTCTGTCACAGTTGTTTACTCTTTGATCCTTCCAGGCCTGGTGATGGTAGCCTGTGGTGTTGCGTTGGAAGGGGACACTGTACCCAAGCGAACAAAAGAGTGGCTTCTGTTCTCTAAGAAATCAGGAGATCAGAGTTTGCACAAGTCACTCACTTTTCTACTGCTGACTTGGAACAAATTTCTTCAATATTCTGTACTTTAGCTTCTCTCTCTGTAAGGCAGCTTTACTGCTTTTTCTAAACTGAGATTTTTCAGTGGGAAGTGCTGTTTAAGAGTTGTTGTTATGTAAGGATTTTTTGACATATCAAACATAGAGAGCATGCATTGTAATTTTGCATACCTGTGTTCAAGTGGAACCATTTCAGAACACATGTATTTGTTTAGTCCAGCTGTACACTAAACATTTAGGCAAGCTGACAATCTCATGTGAGTGTTGTGGTAGTAGTAATCGTTTCATTGCAGATGTTCCTGTACTTTGGTGAACTGGGACTGGCAACGTGCTCTGCTGACCACCTCATCATTTTGTGGAAGGATGGTGAACGAGAATCTAGACTCCGCAGTTTAACACTGTTTCAAAAACTGGCACAAAATGGTGATTTGCAGCACACATTTTAAGTTGCTCAAATGCAGAATACATACATACGCATAAATTGGATGTGTATGAAATGTGAGTATAAAAGAAAGCCTGAGCTACTGGGAATGTGACTACCAGTAAGGTTTACACTTAATGTCATGTATTATATTGTAATTTTTATTGGTTGCTGATACTCTTCTCAAAGGAGTATTTTGCATGTTGAAACTTAATTTTGGCTTACTCTTCCAGTAGAAATGATGTTCTCTTGAAAGACTGATGGTAATGATGACTCATTAAATAGCTTGTAATATTTTTCCTAGTGTTTTAAAAATATGTTGGGTGGATGTCAAAATTCAGATTTGTGAAGATCCTTAGATGGGTCATAACTAAAGCAGCTGGGGGCATTCGACAGTATTATGTGCAGAAAGGATGCACAAAATAAAGTATCTCAGACTTGCAGCTTTATGTAACTTATTTCTTGAAGCTAATCTTTGGTCACTGGTGCCTCAGATTTATGTATCTACATAAAACCCCAAAAGAAACAGTTCTCAAACAGAACTTTTGCATTTGAAGTTACTATGCTGCACCAAGAGCAAGCGCAAGAAAGAAAAGTTGGCAATACATGTTTTGTCAGGTTTAAATTTTTGGCAAAGCAAGGTGTATAGATACTGCTTGCTTCCAGTAGCTGCAGTTTTAGTGTGGGTTAATCTACACTACTGGAGTTTATAGAGCACTGTTAACATGGCTAGCATGAAGTGTGATTAGTTTAGCTGAGCATTCATCAAATTCATTTATATATAATAAAAAGCACTGGCCTTACCGTGGATTTTCAGGATGTAAAATACTTTCTTGAGCAGTAGCACTTGATGTGTTTCAGTACCAGCAAAACACTTCTGCCAGATCAATACTAAACTCTCAGCTGAGCTGACTGCAAAGAAATCTGCACCAAGTTTGTAAGGATAAATAGTATTTTTAGAGTTTTAAAATAAAAAGCCTCTTAAGTACATAATTTTTTTTTATCAAGTCTGAGATAGCAGCAGTTGTGTGCAAGCTGAACAGGAGTAGGAAAAACCCCAAACTAAAACAAAAATGACAAACCAAAGTGACAGAAACCCAAAAGAAAAGAAAGTGAAGTTAAACCCAGAACTGATACAAAGTAGTTGAGAAGGAAGAGAAGATAATGGGTGGTGAGTCACTGTTGGAACAGAGCAGAGCTGAAGAAGCGGGGAGTTTGGAAACTTAGTGGTCTTAAAGCCATGTAGAAGAGAGTGCCACTGTCCTCAGGTCTATTCAGAAGATCTAGCACTTCAACAGTTTAGTCTTGCGCAGCTTTCAGTGCCATCTCTTTGAATTGATGAGAACTATTTTCAGTACAGGAGATAACAGGGCTGTAATTCCAGACTTAAGATCCAGCAGCTGCAGTAATTAAAATTAAAACAAAGAGCTAAGCAGATCCTGATGAGTAGAAGCAAAAGGAGGAAGCTTCAGCTTCCTCAAAGAAACAAAGGAACCTTTTAGATGTGCTTCCCTCAACCCCCATGGACGCCTGCCTTCCCCCTACCACCCAGTAGCCAAGTTTTGCCTCTTGACTCTTGCCTCAATCTTCCCTGGAAGGCAGGACAGAGGGACAGTAAAATTTTGAGCTGTATTTTTTTTCTCTGCTTTAATCAACTTGTATAACTAATCTTATTTGAGTGTAGAGCTCAATATGGCATATTTCGAAAACACAAAATGGGTGGAGAAGTTGTGAAATTACCTTCTCCTTTCAATTTAGGAAGTCAGTGTTAGATCTTGAGCTGTTTGTTCTTTGCTCAGAGTGTCTGTTCTACAGACCAGCATAGGAAAGGCGTTTGGATTACAGCTGATGATAACATTCCTTTTGGTTTATGGTATTAAACTTGTGGGAGGAAAGCATGAGCCCTTCTGCCTGTCAATCTGCATTGTTCCAGGTTGTCTTCGTCAGCAAGTGTTGCATTTTTGGCTACCCCAGTGCAAGCTGGGACATCAGTTCCTCTGGCTCTTTTTTCCTTTTTTCAATTGAGATGTAACTGTTTAGTTGTATATAAAGTGTGTGTTTACACATTGTTACTAAAACTTTACAGCAAAAGCTTATGAAATTTAGGGGATTGGGATTTTTTTTTTAGATGCTAGTGCTGTCATTAGTTAAAACTAGAAAGAAGAAACATCATCTTTTTATTATCTCTTCGTCCTATACCCTGAGAATGATTTCATTTTTATGTGACTGCTTTTAAGTGAGAAACAGACCTATTTAACTGAGCAGTTCTAGTCACAAAGCTCACTGTGCATTTTACAGGGATGTAATTCAGCTCTAAATAGCCCTACATGTGTGTATAAATATTTTTATCTATCAAAAGCGCATTGTTCTCAGATACACTCCATTGGTAATAGATCTCCCAAGGGTCTCTTCCTTTAAAGATGGTTGAGTTGAAAGTATTAAATTGAGTTCTTTATTTTACAAATGAACTTTGAGTGTAACAGTGAACACAGTAAGGCTGTGCTACCCTACTCCTGTTAAATAAGAGTTTGTCACTTGCTGGTGGGAAGTGCAGAGAGCAAAATTAGGATAAGCAGGTTAGAAATTTTATGTTGACCTTTGTCCTTTTAAATTTCTGTTTCCATCTCACAGTAACATCGAATTCCATATGTTCACATCATGAGAGTAAGTATCTTTGTCAGACCTACCCTTTGAGCTGTTACAGCTCTGAGGTGGCTGTTTTACCTGTCTGTGCACTGCCAGTGGCATGAAACAAGCAGCTGTTGGTCAAGCGTACAGGTTAGAGACTAGGTGATCTGACACAGCTTGCAGATGATAATTAATCTATGCTGGCTTCTTTTGCTCTTAAAGAGGACATATCTCCACATAAATGACTTTTTTTGCTAAGTCTCTGACTGCAGGAAGAAACCCAGGATCTTGCAAGAAATACACTGATTCCACATTAATGCCTTAACTCATGAACCAGAACTGACAGTGAACTTTATTTCTTAGGTTCCTTCCACCATTCACATTTTCTTCCTTGTGACAGAATTGTGAAAGAAATAATGAACTGAAATGTTTTACATGGATGTGGTCTTACAGTGTTGCTGTATTTGATGAATTAAATTAAGATGACAAAGCTTTGAGTCTTGTGAAGTTCTTTTCTCTAATGCAAGCTATGGTACACGTTCAGTCATCAGAATAGTTAAGGTACAACCACCGAGAGCACTAGTTCTAAATAAAGGGATGGTAAAAGCAAACAGTTTACAGTCTGAAAACAAAGTTCAGCTTCTCTGAACTTATCTGAAAATCCATTGAAGAATGTTGCAAATAGATAATAAGAAAGAACGAATAAACATACTTCCCCAGAAACACCATTCTTCATATATACACAATGCAGCATTTTAATGCACAGCAACCTGCCTTAGCTATGACAAAGGTAAGGTTCTATTACAATTCTAACAAAAATATAGCTTATATACATTTCTTTGCACATACATTTTATGAATGTTTCCTTTTTGTTCAGAACTTGGTACAAAACATACAAAAAAGGTTGGCACGTTATGTAAGCTACCTGCAGTAAACAACAATCATTGTCACTTCTCTTCCACAGCAATCTAAACTGTTTTGGTTTTTTATCTTCTTTTTCCTTTACTGGGTTCAATCGTGATTAGCAGAGGGGGGAGGTAAAGAGTACGTCTGGAGACCTTTCCTTTTAATGAGCAGTGGACTGCTTCTTCAGCTGCAGCAACTGCTTTGATATTCTTGCCTGCAGCCTGCAGTGCACAGTGTTAAAAATCAGCAGCTCTGCTAGTAATTATTAACTGAATAGTCTGAGAAGAGGCTAAAACTTGAGCTCATGTTCTGCGTGTGATTAAAATGAGATGTACAAAAATATGCATTTGTGCTTTGGAAGCTTTAGCATAAATTTTGTATCTTAAAACTAATGAAGAACTATGTTTGATTTCTAACTTATTTACATCTTTTGAAATACTTTTTACATCACAAAGCAAACCAGCATTTTATTAGGAGGCAAAAAGCAGTACAAATTACAATGCTTTTATAAATTATGACCTGGAAACTTGTTTTTTAAAAAGCGACAGGTTCATCCTAGAAGTAAGTAGCACAATATGTGGACTTATTGTAAAATTTTGATCAGTTTAATAAAATTGATGACCTGGTGTACAAACACCACTGTATAAAAAGGATGTTGGTCAAGTGCCACAATGTTTTTTGTGTAAAATTTGATTAAATGTTGCATGGTAACATTTCTAAGATGGCAGAGAAACATGTGGATGGTACCCCGTTATACAGAACATGCTTGTTTTCATCTGCTATATGACCAATTTTAAGGGAGTTTGGCTCGGACCGAGATTTTATATGGATAGGAAAAAAGAGTGACCAGGTGGTGCTCTGAAAGATAGGCTCTGTAGTAAGAAGGTTGTTTTGGATAGTGCAGAGTTTGTTTCATACTACATCCAATTTATCAAGGTTTACTTGTTCTACTGTGAGTGTTCTGTTTAGCACTCTGATTCAGAGAACTGAAGAACGTGGGTAGAATTGGAGCAAATTTATGTTAGATAAGTGGGTAGTTCTTACGTGTGTTTGTCAACCTATTCTTACTCTACTGGTGACTAGATTACCCCTCTCTCTGAGGAACAGTTGTGGGAAGTGTTATTGTGTACAGTTCTATCAATTAAAAGATTTGACCAATGCATATTCAGTATTAGAAATTAGTTTCAGAAGTACACAAAATGTTATTTCCAAAGAGCACTTTTTCATCTGTGGATTATGTAGCCTTTTTGAAAACATTTTTCAGCAGAATTCAGAGAAGCTTAAAAGTGATGAATAAAATATCCCCTTCTTGCCATGCAGTCTTAGTTTCACTGGAAAGGAAACACCATCCCTCTTATAGCCAAGTCAGTAAGTGATTCACAGTGAAACTGGTAGATCAAGAGGTCTGTTTTTCTTGCCTTAGTGTCAGTTGTTGTTTTCTGAGGGGAGCCTGAGACTCTTGCACTTTAACTCATCCAGCGTTTTCCAGTGTTTGTAGTTGTTAGCCAAGTGTTGCATCAAGACAGGCAGATGTGCAAATGCTGAAATTAACAGGAGAGAGAGTTACACTATATGTACTATATGTCAGAAGAACAGCCCAACCTTATCTAAAATTGGTGTTCTCCTAATCTCTTTTGTTAGCTAATGCTAAAAGGGGAAAGATTTTTTTTCAGTCTGTTTCTCTGTCAAGCAAATCCCTTTCTTAATGTATGGTGACTTTATTAAATTATGCTAACGCACAACCACCAGGGTCTCAGTTTCTGCTGCTCAGAAGAAATACATTGCTAAAGGAAAATAAGATATAGGTGAAAAGAAGTTTAGTTATAAGCCATTATTCCTTCCTTCTTTACATAGATTCTCTTGAAAGTGGTCAGTTTTCATAAAGCCAGTGGTGTGTGCAGTGAAACGGGCTTCAGCAGCATCATTGCTTAGATCCTGTGCTGTACTGCTCATGTATGGGAACAGCCCCTGAAAAGAATGCACTCAAGCCCAATTTGAGAACATTCATTTTAGTCTGTAGAAGCCTCTGCCTCGGAGCAAGAAAGAAAAAAAGCAGATGTACTTACCATCCCACGCATCGAACATATCTGTTATAAAATAATCAATGAAGGAAATTTGAGACTTGGGGATGCTGCAGGTGTTTCTATCAAATACTGGCATTACAACAGGCAGACCCTGTCTCTTCTCTTCATCAGTCTAAGAAAACAAAACTCCAGTTAGCAAAGCTCTTGGGGCTGGCTTTCGTGCTGGAGTAGCAAAGGCCAGGGGATGAGATGAGTTGCAGCGGGAGACGGGAGACAAACCTCAGAACCCCTAAGGTGAACCGCTTTAGTTTCATGTGCTTTATTTCATCTGGAACGGGGACTGAACTCTCTTCCCTTTCACAAGTACTCTGTTACAGTAGCGCTGTGATTGCTCTTGGCTGCAGCGAGACAGAGCGCTCTAGCCTGGTGATTAGGGCACACCAGCTAAAAATGGAAAACGGGGTTGCAGAGCCCTTTAGCCGAGGAGAGGTTAGAGCTCTCCTTTTCCCACATCTCTAGTGGCTGTTTCAAGCCATTTGGCTTTTAATTAAGAGTGAAGTTGCTGTTGTTGCTGCTTCTGCTCATATCGGGTTATAAAATGAACAGAAGTAAGGGCACACGTTTCAACTCTGTGCCTGCAACTCAGAGCAGTCTGGCTTTGTTGCACTCATTGCAGTGGAGGAGCCAGTCACCTCAATAGTCTTAAAATGGGGGTTTTTTTGTAATTAAATTCAAAGTAGTACAGGCAGCACCTAATGCTGGAACTGGCAGCAGAGCAGTCCCCAGAATCAGCAGATGAGGTGAATGCGGAGCAGAACAGTTCTCAGCACCTGGCATTGTTGCAGGTTGCCTGCAGCAATTGCCTAAGATTGGCAATTTAAAGTTAGCTCATGATACCTGGACTGCTAGGGAGATGCAACCTGAGCGATCCTTACCTAGGAAGTGATCACATTTATTCGCTATGATTAAAATGAAATTCAGGCATGTCCCAGGCACTAACTACTGTTTTCTTTCAGTAGTAACTAACTGTCACATGTATGATCCGAGTTTGGATGGTAGGCATGGCTGCTCTTCTGTCTGCAGTCATAGCTGATGATTTCCACACCATTAATGACAGATAAAAGCTAAGAATCTATCGGTTGTCCAAATAAAGAACTATAAAAGCATTTCATTTCAGGAAGCTGGTGCATTTGTGTTAGAGAAAGTGAATGTTAAGAAAGGAAGTTGAGCTTCCAGTTCTGTCTGGTAGAGTTCCCATGTGATAAACATTTTCAGTGCGCACATGCTGGGATTACTGGCCTGAGCATCTGCCTGCCCTGACAAGAGTGCTATCGCAGAAGAGGAAGGGCCAGCCCGATGGGTCAGCTGAGGGCTTCATCGGGCGCAGATCTTCACGCTCTCTTCAGGGAAGGGATTGGGACTAGAAGCTAGAATGGTGGCAATCTTGAATCTCAGCCAATTAAATTGACAAAGGTTAGTCAAGTCATTTTGGTTTGGACAGATGGAGAAAGTTGAAAGTATAAAAAAACCTCCTTTCCATCATTCTGTACTGCAAGCTTCATGGTAAGCGAGCTCGCTTAACTCTGACTGGGGTGAATTCTCTGCGTGAAAGTGAGGGGCTGGTTCTGACTGTGGACAAAAACCTGGACTCCATAGGGATGCCAGGCAGACCCCATACAGAACAGCATACCGCCTGTGCATACAATGTTTCTTACATAACATAATAGTAAAATTATAAAACAATATACATACCTGTGCAAAATACTCCTCTGAAATCCTCCCTGCCCATTCGATACATAGCTCTAGGGGGCGACAGGGATTTGCTACATCCGCACATTTAATCATCATACGCTTGATCAGGGTCTGGTTATCTGGAAAGTTCTTTACGTTGGCTGTGCATTCACAGTCGCTGCCGTCGCTCTGTAGAAGAGAGTTGGTTACGGGGGCCGGTGCCAGCAGGAGCGAGGGCATCATCATCAGCTCTACTGCACCTCAGCAGCAGCCAGCACGATGCCTTCTCATTTCACACACAGCACCAGGAATTTGGAGGAGAAGGTGATGTCTGAGGACAGCAGCCTTGCTAAGTAACTAATGATAGCCTCATTACAGGAGAAAGTTGTGGAGATCCTCAGAATTAATAGAGAAGTTTGTGAACTAGAGGAGTCACAGCCTCTTTATCAGCTAGGGTGAGTTACCCTTCTCTGCATCCCAGCCTTGCCCTTTTCAACAGGACAAGGGTGGAGGATGTGCCCACTGCCTGCAAGTTGATTAACCATCCTCCCTGCTGGGTGTTTAAATTTGGGAGGGCTGATGGCAGGGGGCTGCTTCATTGAGGTGAGTTTCTGGAGTTTGGTTTTCATTCCTGGATGAGAAAACCGAGGCAGGCACAGGTGGGTGAAGCGACTCGCACCACTGACTGTTTCTTTTACAGGCAGAAGGGCAGGTCTGTGCCATTCAGCTCCAGGATGTTTGCAAATAAAACTGCCGCCTTTGTGCTGTATTTTGAGCCCTCAGCCTGGAATACTTGTTGCTCTTTAGTTACGACCTAGGATGAAGTCTC